ATCTGCTAGCGTTCCAGAAGGAAAAAGAAAACCGAAAACCAATTTTTTCTTTCTTTCTTTTTTTCTTTTTTTTTTTTTCTTTTTTTTTTTAGCCTTCTCCGGCAGCTGGTCAGACTTACCTACAGCCCGTAAGTTCCAAGTTGGGACCCATCCCCATTTCCCACTCCTTTTTGGGTCTCTCGACTCGCTCGCCTCTTTCTTTCTCGCCCCCTCCAAACTCTCCCCCAAAGCCCCCTTACCTGCCTGAGCTTATCCTCGCCCATCTTTCTCAGCCTCTCTCTTCCTTCTGTTCGTTCCTCTTTCTTCGATCAATCACTTTATCGGTTCCAGCAGGCCGAGTGGTGAAGGATTTACTCCCCTTCAATAGTCTTTTTAATCTTTGTGGTCGCTGCTTTTTCGTCCATCCTGCACGCCATAATTCTTGTGTTCGTCAGCATCGGGGTAACATTTGTTTCACTTTCCTTTTGACCTCCTTTCCGCCCCGTCTCAAGACCGCGCTCCAATAATCGAATTTTTCTCCCCCTTACTCCCGTTCGTTTGTGGTCACTCGGCCTTGCAATAATACCACACGGAATTATATCCCAATCGTTTAATCCTTTCTACTTTTGAGTGCAATAAAAAATTATCATCTCGATCTTCGAGGGATAAGTTTTGACCGGTGAGTAGCCTCATCTTCAGCCTTCAACGAGTTGTTGGCCCTTCTTCCGACTTGACTATCCTCACTATATCAACTGGTGATCTCGATGTATTATTCACTACTGTTCCTTACGTCAATGTAGTAGCTGGCTCTCTAATTCTTTTTTCCCTTTCTTCTCTTTTTTTTCTTTTCTTTTTCTTTTCTTTTTTTTTTTACGCGATAGTTTCCGTCGAATTTGGGTCACCTCGTGTTGGAGCACGTTTTGAATTATCAACCATTTGGTTTCGAAACGTGGAAAGTGCTGCCTTTCGCTGACACCTATCTTTCTTAAAAAGAAATAGATTCCTTCAAATACAATACAACGCCGGTCACCTTATCTTACTTTGGACAAACCTTTGAACGTCACCAGTCACGATTATATACCGCCAACATGGGTTGCGGAATGAGTACCGAGGATAAGGAGGGGAAGGCCCGTAACGAGGAGATCGAAAACCAGCTTAAACGCGACAAGATGATGCAGCGCAACGAAATCAAGATGCTTTTGCTCGGTATGCAACCGATCCCACCTGAAGTTTTCACCGTCGTATGTTAGGCGCTTTGTTGACCATTTCTCTGCAGGAGCGGGAGAGTCTGGCAAGTCGACAATTCTGAAGCAAATGAAACTGATCCATGAGGGTGGATACTCGCGCGACGAAAGAGAGTCTTTCAAGGAAATTATCTACAGTAACACGGTCCAGTCGATGCGAGTCATTTTGGAAGCGATGGAATCTTTGGAACTGCCCCTTGAGGATGCCCGTCACGAGTACCACGTTCAAACCATCTTCATGCAGCCCGCTCAAATCGAAGGCGACAACCTTCCTCCGGAAGTCGGAAATGCGATTGGAGCCCTGTGGCGCGACAGCGGTGTGCAGGAGTGTTTCAAGAGGTCTCGCGAATACCAACTGAACGACTCTGCCAAATAGTGAGTACTTGCCGATGCAGTTGGCCAAACTCTAGCAGCCTGCTAATCGTTCTAGCTACTTTGATGCCATTGAGCGCATTGCCCAGCCCGATTATCTCCCTACGGACCAGGATGTACTCCGTTCCCGTGTCAAGACTACTGGTATCACTGAGACCACATTCATCATCGGCGATCTGACATACCGGATGTTCGATGTCGGTGGCCAACGTTCCGAACGGAAGAAGTGGATCCACTGTTTCGAGAATGTCACCACGATCCTTTTCTTGGTCGCCATCTCCGAGTACGATCAGCTGTTGTTCGAAGATGAGACCGTCAACCGTATGCAGGAAGCTCTCACTTTGTTCGATTCCATCTGCAACTCCCGGTGGTTCGTCAAGACATCCATCATCCTCTTCCTCAACAAGATCGATCGTTTCAAGGAGAAGCTGCCCGTCAGCCCAATGAAGAACTACTTCCCTGACTATGAGGGTGGTGCCGATTATGCTGCCGCTTGTGACTACATCCTCAACCGCTTCGTGTCCCTCAACCAAGCGGAGCAGAAGCAGATTTACACGCACTTTACGTGTGCCACTGACACTACACAAATTCGATTCGTCATGGCTGCAGTAAATGGTGAGTTGCCGCATATCATCCATCTACTTGCGCTGTACTAATAATCGGTTTAGACATCATCATCCAGGAGAACCTCCGACTCTGTGGTCTGATCTAATGAATAGGGTGCTTTGATTGAGTACCTGTTTGAATATCCGACATCTAGACCGTATGCTATGTGACTTATAATTTCCCTTTCTCTCTTTCCTTTTTTCCTTTTCGATGTGTTCGTCATACCTCGTGATCTTTGAAAGAACCTGGCGTTGAAGACATTCATTTGTCTATTTTTAATTTCCTTGTTTTCCCCTTCTGTATTGAAATGATATCTAGCCAGCTCTTTGTTATCCGCATCACCGATATCCATCACAGAGCAGCAGTTCATTGTTCCCTCACTCTTCCATGAGGGCGGGTTGAACATTGAACAATTTATGCCTTTTCTTTTATATCGTTTTTTGTCTTTTTTTTTTTTTTTTTTTTTTTTTTCTTTTTTTTTTTTTTTTTTTTTTTTTTTTTTTTTTTTTCTTTTTTTTTTTTTTTTTTTTTTTTTTTTTTTTCCTCCAGCATTCTCATTTAATTTCGTGTCTGGTTACCCTATCCCTCATTCAATTTCCTCTTTAGTTTACGTTTTGGTTTTGAACGCTGGATATCCCATCATCTCTTGGTGCCCTTGTGTGTACTTATATCACTCATCTTGCCTGTCTCACGTCCGCTGGAGCAATGAGCGATGACAGGGCCACGGGCACGGGGAATGGCAGGGTACGTGGACTATCATGTCTTTTTCTCATGTGTCATGCCGGGTCGGTCATTGGGTCATAGTCAAAACTAAGGATTGTGAATATATTGTTTGTATTAATTTACCTGTAGATTGTAAATAGAACGAGTTGGACGTTAAATTCAAACCCTCGCGTTGTAAAATACATGGATATCAAATCGTTGAGAAAGTTGAAATTCAGCTATGGCGATGCCCGTCCAAACACCAGTACTCCATACATAAACGCTCTATAAACACAAGATAGCTATCAGAATCGCAATTTCGGACCGATGAATACAATCAACACCGCAATTCCCCATAACCCAAAGATCCATGCATAGAGCATCATCCGTCCCCACCAGCCCTTCCCTTCGGTCATGCGACGCAACATTCCCATCCGCCGTTCTGCAGCCTCCATATTGCCTGTCGTGCGGTCCAGGCCTTCAACGGCACGGGCCAGCACAGACTTTTCTGATTCCAGCGAGGATTGGAAAGCCTGCGACGAAGACTTGAGCTGGGTCGCAAGGGACAGAAGAGAGTTAGTGATGTCTTCTTGTTCGCGACGGTGTGTGTCGAGTGTCTCTTCGGTGGATTGTATTTTAGCAGTCGAGGAAGCAGATGGCTGTGTAGAGGTGTTGTATCCGTGTAAAGAGGAACCTGTTGCTGTGGCTGGGAGGTCTGTCGGGCCATTATGTCGGTTTCGTAAGGTGGACGTTGGCGTAGGCGAAACTGTAGTAGTGGTGGCTGTAGCATCAGCTGTCGCCGTCGTTGCCGCCATCTCATGCGACAGAGACTCAGGGCTCTGCCCAGGAATTGCCTTTGATTCCTCCTGCGCAGCAGCCTCCGCCCCCTCCGCCCCTTCTCCTATTGTGCCGATCTCCTGTCCTTCATCGGGTGTACTGCCCTCCTCTGGTGTCCCGAGTAAATCCTCCCCGTCCACTGACTCTTCGTCCTCATCCTCGTAAATCCCCTCCGCACCGGGCAGCACCTGCCCGCCTTTTGCGGAGAGCTTTATCTCCGCCTCAGAATTTAGCTGATCTAGTACACTCTGTAACCGTTTCAGGGTCTGACGGTCCCGCGTGATATCCAATTGGATTTCATGACGACGGTCAACTGGTTTGACCTGCGGGAGACTCCGTTCTAATTCTTGGAGTGTAGCACGGGCATATTCTATATTCTAGTTTTGGGCTGTGTTAGCATGAGCTGTGCCAGAAGCCCAGATAGTCAAGCTACAACCGCAAACCTAGCATAGCTACTAGTCACAGCTAGCTAGCAAAGCCGACACGGAGCTTTTCCAATAAAAAAAAGAAGCCCATAAAGTAAAACGAGAAAGGGAAAAAAGATAAACGCACAGCTCCCACTCTCATACGTTGATACTCCGACCGACGTAGCGGCTTCAAGTCCGCATAGGACGAGAGCAAATTATGTTCCAGACGGGCGAGTAGTCGAGATAGAGATAGATTCGTGATATTTGGGTCGGAGGTCAAGGCCCCGGGATATGTTGTTATTGTCATGGTTTCTTCTGTCTATTATTGCGCCCGGTGTTTTCGCTTCTTTTTTCTCGCTTCCTGTCGGTCTGTTCCCTTCTTTATGTTCTCTCGCTCTGCTTTTTTTTTTTTGTTTTCTTGCTTCTCGCCGCGCTTGAAGGTGGGGTTCGAGTGAGGGGAGTTGGGCTGCGATTTCTTGTTGGCTTGTTCTTTGGGGAACTATTGCAGATGGCTATCGAGCAATCATGGCCGTTTATTGGGGATGACTAAGCTCGATATGTATGGGGCATGTGACTTCGTCATAGCTATTGGGTCATGTGGTTTCCATACTTATTCAAGTTGTTTTGGAAGGAAGAGTCATCTACGATAGGTCCCTTGGTGATGCGGGCTAAGAGGGCCTGGGAGGTGGTTGTCCCATACGTGTTGAACTGAGTTAGTTTAGATTTCATGAATTCAGCATCATTAACTCGTCATCAGTCATCAACAGAAGTAAAATAAAAAAAATAATTCTGGATGTAAACAATCCGCCACCCATTAGGCACCATCTTTTTTTAAAAAAAAAAAAAAAAAAAAAAAAAACATGCGCCTCAATGACCTGGAATTCCAATGGAATGTGAAGGGAAAAATAGTACCCGAACTAAGTAGTAGAAGGGAGAGTCAAGAAGAAAAAAACAAAGACCAATGAACGCACACAAACAAGATTAGTTGTAATGGAGCATGGTCCGTTTATACGTGCGAACACCTCCTTCATCCACATCATAAAGGTGTTGGACAATCTGGTTGCGCTTCAGGACAGAACATGTCCGTTCTTGGGCCAACATCCCGGAAAATTCTTGCGCGTCGAGTGTCTGTGGCCCAGCCGGTGGATCGGCGTTCTCAATGCAAGATCCAAATAATCCAGATCCCTCCGTGGGCAAAAACCCGTTGCTGCGCCCAGCGTCCCTCCCAGCGGTGGAAGGCCGACTATCTCCCGAGCTGGGGCTCAGCTCGGATGGGGCAACAACGCAAGGTGCCTGGGCCTGCTGATATGATTGCGCAGTGCTGACACTCCGTTCGCGGCCTAGAACGGCAGCAAGATAACCACTCGAGGGTAGATGTGTCGAGCGGGACAGGGGCAGCAGAATATCACAGGCTGAAGGGAGTCCGGTTACGCCGTAGGTCGACGGGTCTCCTGGATAGTAGGTCTTTCCGTGGCCCACTAGACCAGCTAGTTCCTCGTCGCCACCACGCTTTTCGTTTGGCAAAAAAGAAAAGAGTCGCGGATCCATTTGCCTCTCTGGCGGTGCGTACCAACCCAGATGTCGTCGTCTGATACGTTGAACGAAGAGTAGGATGCACAGTATGGAGACGACGGTGAAGGAGATCCAGAACGAAAGAACATGGATGTCTTTCACGGCGTCGTTGTCCTTCTCATGGCCCATTGCCTGTGTCTCTTTGTCTCCTTTCTCCAAGGAGAGTCTCAGCGCGTTTTCTTTTGAACGTTGACGACGTTGTAGATCACTTATTCCTCAACAGTCTGTATGTCCAGTACTGGAGATGGGCCGTATGAGGCGTTCTATACCAAAATAGGCAATAAGTTGGTTTTCAATGTTCCAAGTTAACAAGTTAAATATGCTCGATTAACGGGCAGAACCAGGAGAGTTAGATAAATAGATAGAAAGCGAGAACGAAGCAAAAAAAAAAAAAAAAAAGAGAGATATAGATGTAGAGACGATATTGAGCTTGTACCTTGCAAATAAGAGCTATGAGCGGTATACAGAGATCTTTATAATCTGGGCCATGGCCTCCAGAGGTACTTGGATGGAAAAGAAATAATACTCCGTCTCGGAGTGACCCAGTGAGGGAATTGCTACTTTCTAAAAGTATCGAAATAAAATGACAGACTCCACCATGCAGGCACACATATCCAACCCTGCGTCATGCAGCCATTCTTTGAAGCACAATTTGGTAGGTAGTTGGTACGAGGCGGCTTCCAGTCCAGCTGCGTGAGGATCAGCCACGCGAGGTTAAGCGGTGGACAAGACCCATGTAAACTGGAGCCCACCCGCCATTGTACGACGACTAGAGGGCCAGATGAGACCAAGAATGCGGCAACAAGGCCAACAGGAAAGGTGAGTTCAGCTGCCGTGAAAGAGCGCCACCTGCGCAGTTGCCGGCTCAAGAGAGGAGCTTCTCCCGCTAGTTCGTTAGGCGGACTTAGCGAGGGGCACCGTCTCCCAAGGACTATGAATAAGGCTGGCTACCGGCACTAAATGTGTTGCGGCTCGATCTGAGTCGACGGTGACGGCGTAAGACCAACAGGAAGTAGAAAGTGGAGTGGAGAGGGTTCAGTCGCTCCATCAAATGCATGTCTTGGGAGGGTAATTGTCCAAAGGTCCAGATTCATTACAGTTGAAGTGCCAGCCGGTAATTGAGCTGTTCCCCATTCGGAAAGGTGCAAACCCGCCTCGTGACCCCGTTTAGTTTCGTTACTTCGATATTGATGCAATTTTGGAATACAGTACTCTGTATTAATGTTAAGTATCCACCATCGTTATTCTCTTACATTATTTATTTTGTTATTCTTTCTCAGCTCAGCCCATCATCCGATCGTCTGCTTCCGCGCAGATCCAAGTCGGTTCGCATAAAGCAAGCGCAATGACAGGATAAACCTACGTACTAGTCTCGCGTCAGGTAGCCATGGTATGACGGGTCGATCCCTTGCCTTCTTCTATTATTGGAGTGGTAGCTTCTGGTGAGATGATTGTTCCCCTGAAACTTTCCTCTTCTCACCAATGTCTTGTGTTTCCTTCCTCGGCAAGAACTCTAGATCAGATTGCGCCTGTGCTGGTGTCCACTGGGTCATCATGTCTTTCACTCCTGCACCTACTTGACACTACTAACGCACTAGTATCTTAGATCTACCCTTGGCGCAGGGAAAAAGAGCCGAATGCTTTCAGTGTGGCGGTAAACAGCGTGATCGACTGTGGCGTCGACCTCCTTTCGTGGCCTTTTGACAGCAGGAAAATTTAAGAGGAATTCACTACGCGAACCTAGATCCACTCAGATTCGTCTATCAAATATATCATTCAGGATTCCTCGCCCGTTCGACCCAACAACCAGGTCCTTAACGCATGCTAAAATCGGCTGCCCCACCAATCAGGTCACCGAAGCTTAGATTTACATTAGATTGGGCCTGTCGCTCCGCAGGCGAGGAAAAAAAAATATTAAAAAATTGGAGAGAGGCAAAATAGAGTGTGACCTATAGCTTTGCGGTGATACTCGGGTTTGAGGCCACTTCCTCTCTAGCGCGGTCTCGTAGGACCTTTCGCAGGATCTTGCCTGAGGGGTTTTTAGGGATTGTATCAACGAAGACTACCCCGCCAGTGATCCTCTTGATCGCGGAGACTTTCCCGTCCATGAATGCGATAAGATCCTGTGCGGAGCCGCTTTGTCCAGGCTTTAGCACTACATATGCTCGAGGGCGCTCGTCATCGTTCCTATTCGTCGATAGTCAGTCTATCAGCTGCTCCTGGTCGTTCATCAATCTCTGTGGAGGCAAATATAATACTTACACCGAGACTCCAATGACCGCAACGTCAGCTACTGCCGGGTGCTCCAGCAAGAGGGCTTCTAACTCTGCCGGTGCGACTTGATTGCCTTTCACTTTGATCAGTTCCTAGAGCAGAATTTGTCAGTCAACGCATGCATAGGTTCTAGAAGCAAGCGTGCAACGCTGCCCTATTTTTTTTTTAATTTTTTTTTTTTGCCATATGTGGCAACTGGGAGCTATTTGTCATACGACGTACCTTTTTCCGGTCAACTACGTAGAACTTCCCCTGATCGTCCACATACGCGATATCTCCAGTCTTCAGCCATCCGTCTTCCGTCTTGGTTTCCTTTGTGGCCTGTGGGTTTCGCCAATAACCCTTCATAATGTTCGGACCTCGGACCCAGAGTTCACCCCGTTGGTTACGTCCTAACTCGGTGACCCCGTCGTCGGCCATAATCTTTGCTTCGCAATTGGGGTTCAGCTCTCCAACTGACGCTGTGTGACTTGTTTCGGTGGGGTCCCAGCCAAGTATAGCGCATGTAGTCCTTTGGGAAAACTTCTGTGTTAGCTCACATATGCTGCTTCATTGGTAGATATAATAGGAGGCACAACGTACTCGGTCATCCCCCAGCCCTGTTTCACATTGACACGTCCAGGTTCCCAGAGGGCCTCCACTTCATCACAGACTTCTCTTCCCAGGGGCGCTGCGCCGCTGCCAATCCCCTCGACACTGCTAAGATCGTACTTGCCGCTTCTGACCGCAGGATGCTTGGCTAGGGCAACCACCACAGGAGGTACCAGAATAAGGTCCGTGATACGGAATTTCTCCGTATATTCTAGCATCTTGATGAAGTCGAACTTGGGCATAATGTACACGGGAACCCCACGCTTCAATGCATTCGCAATGAAAATGTTTTGGGCCATCGCATGATACATCGGCAGGAAACAGAGGAACCGAGCCCTGGCATTCTTGTCCTTCCAGTCCGGGTTGAGATAAAACGATTGGTTAGCCTGGAGCATGTTGGCGCAATAGTTCTTGTGAGAGATTTCCACGCCCTTGGGCCTCCCCGTCGTGCCGCTGGAATAATTCAAGGCGAGGGTACGGTTAGCCTTCTCTGGAGTTGATAGGTCGTCCCATACAAACTGACTGCCTTCCTCCGCGGATGCCACCAGTTCACCCCAATAGCGACAACCCATCTTACCCTCCCCCCGCCCATCGAAGATGGCATTATTAAAAACAAACACCCGGTCCCGACTCAATCCTGCTACCTGCGCCGCTTCAATACCAGTGTCGAGACTCCCTTCAGCGCAAATGAGGTAAGTTGCGCCGCTATCCTGGAGCTGATACGCCAGTTCCCTTGCGACATAGGTAGGATTGGCCCCCGAGAAGATACCTCCCGCCATGATGATCCCCATAAAGACAACGGGAAAGAAGAGATCGTTGCCGGAAAAGAGCAAAACCCGATCGCCTGGCTGGAGACCAGCCTTGTGCAATCCCGCCGCAAACCGCTTCGACCATAGTCGGAAATCATGGGTGGTGAAATAATGCGTGTCAGGACGAGCGGCCTCAGAGAAGCACCTGTGCGTCTTTGACAACGGATGAGTGGGCGATGTGAACAGGACAGTAGCCAGGTGCGCATCCGGGACATGCACCTGCCAACGCGATTTGAAAGGCATTGTGAGTCTCTTAAACAATCCACCCAGAAAACAAGTCAAGAAGAAGGGCACCAATAAAAGTTCAAGAAATGGTAAGAAAGAGTAAGTAGTAACGATATAAACCTTGAGGAGAGCGAGAGCAAGAGCAATTCATATATAGAATTAGAAACAGGGCCACAAACCGAGGAATTCACTCCAATCGAAACTTGCCCCAAAATCCTGGCTACATCAAACCCCTCCTACAAGAACCAGTAAAGTGAATAATTTATCCACTTTTATCCATTCATAATCCGAGGAACCAACCCCATACCAAGCTTGTAGAGCTCTCCCCGCATTTGGGATCGGTTACGTCGGTACCAATCAGCTTCTCCCCGAGCGGAGATCCCGAGGAAGTAAACGCTTCATGACCTCGGGTCTTTGACAGTTTGTTTTTAAAGGGGAAATGAGAGGCGCCCTGTACCACCCTAGGTATGTAACACGGTTGAGGAGCAGTCGGAGTTTCTCTCAATTCGTGGGAGTGTACCACCTAAACGGCGGCTATGCTGGGATATTTAGCCGCTTACATCATTCCATGTTTTTCTGACACCAGTCTGGGAAGGAAAGGCAAAGACCGTTATGTGGTTTGTATGTTCAATCAATGGAATACCGATATAAAATTTCTACACTCCCCACCGTCTGCCATTCCCTACCAAAAACATCACGCTATATCTTAGAGGACAACCCTGAACAAGCCATGGAGGGAGTAAAAACATATCAAGAAACAACCACATAGACACCTTGAAATTGCGCACAACATGAGATGGATACATTAGCTTCATTACGCCTCCTCTCCCCCAAGACAGACCAGCGTGGCCTTCAACTCGCTCACAATCTTCTCCTCCAGTCGGTTCTCGGCCCCCGATGATGAAGCATTCAATGGTTTCTGACGTAACAGCTCCGCTTCCTTGTCGTTGGTGGCCACGATCCGTGCTCGAAGGAGTTGTCTTCGTTCTAGGAGATCTTCAATGTCCTCCTTGACATGTGCTCTATCCCATTTGAGTTCCTGGATTGACTCAGCATCCATGCCGGCACTGGGTCCTGCTTCGCGGAATCGATCCAATATGAAGGAGATCAGTGCTAGTGAGTAAGCCTCAGATGTCATGCTCAGACAGATGCGCCGGGTCGTAGACCCAGCCGTGCGGTCGGCAGCAAACGCCTCGGACGCCCGCGTAAGTTGGCCCTTGAATTGATTGAGGAAGGCTGCTACTTCGGGCGCTGTGCGAATGACGTGGTAGAGGAGGTTCAGGCAAAGGGGAAGAATACCGCCGGTCCAGATAGCATACATCCTGGGCACCGGATCAAAGGGGCCGAAGCCCTTGGGCTGTCGCAGGATATTTGTCAGCCGACATGTAGAGAGTCTGACCAAAACCACCTCGACAGCAAGATGTTCTGCCAGCATGGGTATGGTCGATAGTTTAACAAGGAACGAGATACTGAGTTCTCCGTAGATGGGAT